GCCTCATAAAACGTAAGAAAGAAGTCTTCCTTTAAAATATAGGTATTACCCTAGCGTATCTTATCCTTAATTTATTAACTATACGCCTTCTTTAGTAGTCTAAAATACCTAATATCTAAGGGCTAAAGTAAGTAAGAGGAATAAGCTAATATATAAAGTATAATAATATTGTTTTCCTTATAATATATCTCAAAGTTAGCAGTATAGTGACTTTTATACCTATTAATAATGAGGAGGTAATATCTACTACTTATATATAGTTTTATATACTAATTAAAGTACTAGAGCTAATCTAGGCCTCTTTTATTTATTATCTATCCGTTTTTAGACATTATAATAACCTAGTTATATAGGAGACCTATTTCTATATACTAGCTAGAGAGGTAATATTACCCTAAAACAATAATATATAGTGGAACGCTATAGCCTAACAAACTAATAGCCTAAATAACTATAACCTATTTATAATTATTAGGCTATATTATTTTTATATTTAAATGCCTCTTAGCGCTCATTATAACTATTCTAGATATAATCTAGCCTATTATAAACCTAATCTTATTAAAGTTATAGATATCTAAGTCTATAATACTATATTTTATAATTATATTTATTATAAGCTAAAACTATATATTTATTACGTCTAGGTCTTTATATTAAGCCCTCTTATAGTTAGACTTATAAAAAAAGTATATCTAGAGCTATAGTTATTACTTAATAAAGTTTAAGGCCTAATGCTTCCTAATAGGGGGCGCGTTATAGTTAGTAAGTAGTTAATTAGCTATATCTTCTATACTACTAATATAGGGAGGAAATAATTAGGAATCTAGGTTGAGAATATACTTAACTAGCTTCTCTTCTTCTAGCGTAGTTAAATTCCATAAGTTAGGCATTATATTGCATTATAGTAGGGTTCCCTTTATTTGCGCGCTAAGTATTAAATGGGGGACTAAATAGATCTTTATAGCAGCTTGGACGCTAAGATTTAGGTCTTTTTAGATAGCCTAGAGGGCTAAGTTCAATCTATTTTCGCTATTTAGTAACTATATTATTTGGTTATAGTAGTGTAAGAGTTAGAAGGTAGGAGATAGGTTAGGCGCAGTTAGGTGGCCAGCTTGCTTATCCGGCCAGCTCGCTTATCAACCACATTAGAACTTTCTCTTTATTATATAGATTACTTATTATAAAAAAGTTAATAGTTATATAACTACTTAGTACTATTAGCTAGTAATTAAGAGTTCTCCTTAATATTTATTAAATTACCTTATTAATAGTATATACTTTATATTTATCTTTTATAATCCCTTTAAGTTTAATACCTATTATTATCTTTATAAGTTATTTAAGGCTTTATATATTTAGATAATTAAGCCTCTTATATTAAAGCTAGGCCTCTACTTTATTTATATATAATAATAATAAAGATATTATAGCTAGCTAACTAATAGTGGGTTTATATTAATAGTAAGTTAGGGATTAAGAACTATAAATAGTTATTAGTCGTTCTATAGGTCTAGTTGAGTAATTATAGGTCTTTAAAGGTCTTAGTGATTAGTTAAGGCCTTAATAAGAGTTATAGAGTAATTATTACTTAGGTATAGCTAAAAGTATTATAAGTAATAATTATAAGTTAATTACTAAAGAGCTATAGAAGTTTATCCTTAAGCGGACTTAAGTCTATCCTATATATAGGTCCTGGGTAGTCCTATTGCTGGGTGCTGTATATGCCCTGTATGGCTCCTGTATCCTTGGCATATGGCTTCCGTCTTTCTGGAATATGGATGCTGTATCTTGATTATATAGATCTAATCTCTTATCTTATTGTTATGTGACCTATACTATAGTTCTTCTGTTCCTGAGGGATCCTTGTGTGTTCCCGTGATCCTATATATAAATATGTTGTTATAACTGCCTAGTATCCTAGTGGGGTGTCCTTTGTTGGTTATGCCTAATGGGTTGTAATAAAAGACTTAAATTTTATATATAACTAGTTAGTTTTATCCTCTAATATATTAAAATAGACTATTTATAATAGAGATTTAGCGTTATTATAGTTTATATCTATATTAAATTTATAGTATTTAAGAATATATTAGCTATAAATTAAAGATATTATATATATTACTTTATCTTACTTATTTAGAAGTCTAGAGACTCTCTAGAAGAATAATAAACCCTTTTTCTTAAATTAGCTAGATAATAATAATATTATCAAATAAAATAGATAATATTAAACTTTATAAATATATAAATAATATATCTCTTTACCTCTTTAGTTTAGCTATATTTTTATTAATTTAATAGTAATAGCTATAGTTTCTCTACTATTAAGAAGAATAACTTTAATATAAATATAGTTTAAATCTTTTATATAGTTTATATTATTATATATATAAAAGTCTATATTATAGTTTATAATTATACTATTATAAAAGGTATTACTATTAATATAACTTAAAGTAGTAATATAAAAGAAAGAATTAAAATAGATTAACTCTATATTAATATATAAAGTAGTATAAAAGGATATCTATTTATTCTTTTAATCCTTTAATTAAAAGTATAAATAAGAAGGCTTTTTACTTTTATTATAATCTCTCTAATTATATAAGTTTATATTAAACTTTTTATTCTTCTATATATTACTTATATTAATATTTATATTATTAAGTTTTCTCTTAAAGTAGCTATAAAATAGTATTAATAACTATTTATATCTAATATTAATCTTTCTCTTATTATTAATATTATTTAGATTATATACCTTAAGCTAGATTAATAAGTTTATATAAATATAGTCTATAATAAAGTAAAACGTATTATTATAGACTAAGTACTTTAGAGTTTTATTACTATCTCTCTATACTCTTTTATTATTATAGGGTATTAATATAGTTATTATATTCTTATTACCCCCTTATTAAATAATATAATTAATATCTTTAAATATAATAAAAGGAGGCTTTAATACTATTAGTTAGTCTAAATAAAATATATAAACTTATTATTAAAACTTATTAGCCTCTTTTATACTTATAGACTTTCCTTTAGTAGTTAATATATTTAATTTAATCTTTTAGTTAGTCTTAAAGAATAATATTAAAGTACTATTAAAGTATTCAAATAAGATACCCTTAATAATATATAGAAAGTCTAATACTTAAGTAAATAGATCTATAAGTATTAGTACTTTAATAGATATTATATCTATTATAATCTCTTTATAGGTTAATAGCTATTAGTTTAGTTAAAACCTTTTAATAAAGTAAAGATAAGTTTAATATTATTAATAGATATATCTCTACTATATAAAGTTATTTAGTTTAATATTATCTTTAATCTCTTTTAATATAATATAAATATTATTATACTTAAGGATCTTCTAATAATATAATAATAAAATAGACTTTATAATCTCTTTAGTTATAGCTTATATATTAACTTTATTCTCCTTTTATTTTTATAAAGCGTTTTAATATTTTATTTTTATAAGAGATATCTTATTACTAAAGTTCTTATTATCTATATTAAAATATTTAATAATAAGCTTTTTATTATTATTAATTATATTTAAATTAATATATCTTTTAACTTTATATAATTTAGTAATTATTATAATTTAAATATACTATTTACTATAGTTAATAAAGCTTTAGAGAGTTAGCTTATTATTTATATTAATATTAAAACCTATATTAACTATTTAAGTATAAAATTAATAAATTATTTTCTTATTTTAATTAAAGAAATACTCTAAAGTATTTATTTTAATAATATCTTATATTTATATTAAGATCTTAATAATCTAATAATATATAAGGGATTTATTTTTATTTTAATATAGAGCTTTTATCTATCTTAATATATAAAGTTATTAGTTATCTATTTATTATAAATAATACTAAATATATTAAGGAACGCTTAAATAATCTCTATTATCCCTATTATTTTATATTATTTATAATTATTAGCTATATTACTTAGCTTAATTAGATATTAAGGCTATAATAAGCTCTATTATATTAGATCTACTAATTAATAGCTTAAATAATATTTTAAATAATATATATAATAAGAGTTTACTATTAGAAATTAACTAAGCTTATAACTATTAAGTAATAGTTATAGTTAGTAATATAGTATATTAAATATATTAATTAATATATAACTAGCTAAAAGGGGCTAAATTAGCCTAAATACTAAAAAAAAGGAGGGTATATATACTTAATATAAATAAGCTATATTTAGGTAGGAATCTATAAGTGGATTTATTAAGTTAGTGCTTACACTAGTTAAGCGGTACAGGGTCTAACACCTTCCATTCGCCAACCGGATGCCGCAAATTTTGGACGCTCTGTAGATGACGGGACTGTCGGCCGTCCACACCACCAATGGGTCTTACTGCAACAGTTATTGAGAAGCAGATGGCTCGTGTCGACGCCAATTGTTCGCACCCTGAAGGAGACCTATTTCTTTGACCACTTTCCCTGGTTCTTTTCTATTCGCGACAGCCCAATAGCTTGGGGAGCGCAAAATCCCGGAGGATAAGAAAGTTGCCGAGTTCAAAGAGACTATCCTATCAAAACTTCAACCCTACATAGAAAACCAAGTTGGGAATCAAGAGGCAATTGTGCTTTTGGTTTTTCTTGGAGGGTCTCGTGCAGGTGCAGCCCCGACGGGACAGCGCTGTCTGGTGGCCCTGCGGCCCGGCCCGGGCCGTTCAATTTAAGCTCCACCTCAACTGCCGATGCAGGCCCGGGACCCTGAACGTTGCGATGAAGGCCCCACCTGTCTCACAATGGAGGGCGACTTCATCGCCGAAGCATTGTCTTGCAGCCCATCAACGCCATGGTCATTACCCATGCTGATGCAGAGCTTCAAATGGATGTTCTGTACACTCTGCGTGGTGTATGGAACCAACAAAAAATCAGCTTCTTGGTCAATCAGCTTCTTTGTCTAGCGACTCCTTGTCTTGACATGATTCCACAAAGGTCCCAATTCTAAGCCGGATGTTGTTCGCGAGAACGAAGCCGTCCCTTCCAACTGCCTTGGTCCTCCTTAATCTCCCTCTCCTCCCCCGCAGTTGTAAAAGGTTCTCCTGTAGTCTTGGTGGTGCTCTTCTCTAGCTGTTGTGCAAGACGTTCCTCAAAGGCCTCCCTGATCTTCTGGAGCTCTGCGTCAACCTTTGACTCCAGATTTTCAACCTTCTCATCGAAAAGGGTCTTCATGGACTCAGAAGATGCCTTCGACGAAGTTGAGGCTCCTGCCAGAGAAAAGAAAAGCTCCTCGATATCCTCCCGGGCCGTGTTGATTTTCTCCTGAGCCGCCTTGATATCCTCCTGAGCCGCCTCTATCTTTTCGTTTTGCTCCGTGCAATTGTTGCTTGCGGCAGTCTGTCGCTTCGCGAGGCGGACCAGAACGGCCAGAGCGAGATCCACCTTCTGGCCAATGAGCTTCCCTTCTTCAACAGCTTCGTTGAACGCGTCGATAAGGTCTCTAATGTCGGTGGAGACTCCGTCGATGTCTAGGCGATTCTTGGTGATGTCCAGGCGATTCTCCGTGAACATGTCCGCGACAGACTCGATATGAAGTTCAATGAGCTTCAATCGCCTCTCGTGGTCTTCAGCGTATCCCTGAGCGACCTTGTACTTCGGCTGCCTGTTCTCCTGCGCAAACGGCATTAGAAATCTGGATGGACGATGTGGGTTTTCAAGAACGTACTCGGAGTTTGGCCATGCCAATCAGAAGCTCACGACCTTGGTCGTCATTGGCGGATTGCCATGAAGTGAATTGAGTACTCTGGGAAGAGTGTCGGGTAGAGGAGTACGCAGAACCAGCGGATTCTTCTTGGGTCGTCGTCGTGTTCTTCGCTCGCGGCCAAAACACCTTGCTCGCCGATGCCTCTGCGGCAGCATCGGCAGCAGCAGCGGCTTCTCGTCGTTTCTTTGCTTTGAGCTTGAGGCGGTGGTTCTTTCCGATCTTCTTCCTTTTGGTCCCCATGATGAAAGAGTCTGAAAGTTGTGAGACAACTGACGAGGCGAACGACAGGTGCTTCCAAAGAGTATGAGACGGAAGCTGCTGACATCTTGGACGAGAGTGGGGGACCTGTCAAGTCCGCAGGCTCAAAAGTCGAACTCTTGCGGCGCTGCTTTTTTTTTTTCCCACTTGCCACGTTGAACTTTAGGCACCTAATTACTTTACACAATCACCCGGTCCCAGGTCGCCATCCTTCCCGTGCGATTTGTCGCCCGCTGAAGCGCCCCTCGATACAAGGTACCTTAGGTACCTGGTAAGTAGCAATAGTCCGGACCCACTCCGAGATCTGCTCCTTCCTTGAACTTCAACTTCAACCTCACTTTTACTTCACATTCACCATCGTCCTTCAGCAGACTTTTCAACAGGTCGTGAAAAGTCTCCAGGGCAACCGATGATACGTACCAGGGCTGCAGCCGTCGCGTATTTCAGCCCTACCACTTCCTTCAGTCTTTCCACCCTGCCACCTTTTCCTCCAGCCCGCCGACCCTCAACCATCTCTTCCTTCTTTCGTCTTCACAACCCATTCTCGAAGATTTTTCAGACCACCTCAGATTCATTCCATCCCGAACCTTTCCTCCGACAGCATCACAGATGAAGCCCTTCAGCTCGCGTAACGGTGCCTCGGCTCAGCCTTCCAGGGTACGTTTTCCTCACCTTCCTGCCTCTCGTTTCTGTCCATTGCGACCATTTTTGATGCACCCAAACACATCCTCCTCGCAAGTCTCCCGCGATTGTCTTTCCCCGTCACCTGTCAAATCTTGCTGCATTTGCTGATTCTTTTCTTCGCAGGATGGTGATGACAACTCCCGCGCCGGCACCCTTGTTCCTGCCGAGAGGTATTCGGCGGTCTTCAATCTTGTGGTAAGTCCATTCATTCTCATTTGCCTGTTTTCTTTGCCTTGAGTCTGCACGTGTCATTGCGAAGGGTGCAAAACCTTACGGGCCTGGCTACGTCGCTCGGTGCTTGGGCGTTTGGAAGCGGATCTCTCGCCGCGGACTCTCGCCTGGGCGCCTTGTGATTAGGACTCCGTTTACCCTGGCCTCTGCTGCCCTTGGGTGGCACTGGCTGGGTTTCCCTTCGAGGTGATCACTTCCCCGGATCGTGTCTCGATACCGGACTCGGTCCGGACTTCCATCGGGGTGCGCGCCCAGGTCTGTGTCGGCTTGCAACCGGCTCAGAAGGCAGGGGAGGTTCTCGAGTCTCTACTGCAGAAGGACAATAGTCTGGAGGGGTTTACGCGGGTTGGGTGAGCTACGGCAAAAATTCCCAGTCGGTCTGGGGGAAGCGGACAAGCGGCTCTATCACGCAGTTGCAAATGCGGACTTACTCAGTTGGGTTACCCTTGCTGACTTGAATGTAGGCGCTTCTTCACGGCAATCCGGTCCACCATCTCGCCATTGAGGCCTTTGAGCGCAATCACCTCGAAATCATGAGGCTGTCTCTTCAGCCTGACATCGACCTTCGTGGTGTTGCCCGGCTGATGGGCATGGCTTCCGAGCAGATGCTGCAGACCTTCGTTGCCGCCTCCGCTGCCGCCAACGGCTACAAGAATCACGCCAAGTACTCCCACTTCTACTCTGTCGAGCTGGAGTTGGCCCAGGAGCGCTACGACTATCTCTCCGACGACTACCGCTACAACAAGGGCAAACTGCTGAGCGTCGAGCAGCAGTTGAAGGTCATGGGCGAGAAGATTCAGGATCTTGAGTATGAACTTGAGATCAAAGACAAGAAGATTCTGGCTTTCGAGCACCAGCTGGAGGTCATGGAGGAGAGATTCCGGGAGGTCGAGCGGAAGGCTTCCAACAACAAGCAGCGGATGGATTCGTTGTTCCAATGGGCTCAGCAGAATGGCATGGTCTTTCCGTGAGTAGTGCTTGAGGTTTCGCTGTGTTTGGTTCGTGGTTTGGGATAACTTGGGTCGCTATTCTTGATACCCTCCAATTGAGATTTCACGATTCCTGTCACAGATTTTGCTACGTGTGTCTAAAGATTACTGCTCCCTGATATGATGTTCGCCAGTCTCCGATTTCAGCTTCGTGAGACCTTGCAAGCACAATACTCGTCTGATCAGGATGTGGTTAGGACGTTCTTGGACGAGTACGCCGCGATTGATAATTTCATCCCGAATATTTGCGGCAAAAGCCGTCGGTGTCGCTGGTTCCTGCTCAACATCTTTTGTGTCTTTGTGCGAGTGTGTCCGCTGCGATGGTCTGCCTCGGCCGAATGCTGTCTTCCCGCGTGGTCGGACTGCAACTGTCTTCGTTCCCCAGGGTCTTCGCTCTTCCGATGGCAGATTTTCGTTTCTGAGAAGCGCCAAAGATGATCATTTTGCTTGCTTACGTACACGTACGGCCGTATTGGCGATGGATGCCGATGACGGATGGCAGTCCTCTAGACAGTGGATGACACTGATGGAGTCAGAAGAGCTCTTGTGGTCTTCCTCATGCTATGTAGAACGGATCAACCTTCCTTCTAGACCAGATAGACTCTCAAGACCGTGATTCCATCAACAACGCTCAAAATCACTGATAGCATCCAAGGCTAAACCCTGGATTGCAATTATGTTCCACCAAGCTGCTGTTGCATTCCCCCGAAACAAACCATCCTAAAACAAAAGGCAGGAGCATCTTAGTTGGCCGCTCCTTCCTCTGCTTCTCAAATCCCAGGTGGTTGTGAAGCTTGAGGTCCGTGCCCACATCTTACAAAACAATCCATCTTTGATATCTTTTTGATGAGTCCTGCTCTCAACTTCTCCACGCTTCACCTGTCAAGTGTTCACAAAAGCAAAAAGCAGAACAATCGCACAATGGACGTATGTACTTCAGCGCGCCTTTTCCCTAAAAGATTTCTTTCTTTCTAACTGTCTGATGTGCAGCAGCAGGCCGCTTTCCAGAACATGAAGCAGCGTGTGGCTGAAATTCAGAAAGGCATCGACGCGATCACCCACACTCTTGGTGAACTCGAGATGAAGAAGCAAAACGTCGATCCCAAGCATCCCCTCAAGCCCTTCAATCTGAAGTACCTGGCTACCCAGCTGCCCTCCATTGCGCCTGTGAGTCTGAAACGTTCTTTCATTTTGTGGTACTGGAATTGGTGTCGCTCACCTCTCTCGCCCAATCCCTCAGCAGTCGGTCATTCTCAACCGAGGCTACATCCATGAGGTTGCCAACAGCATCTGCTACCCGGTTTGCATGTACATTGCCGATGAAGACGGTCTCCGGAAGAAGGACTACTTTACCACCGCGACCTACATTATCGCCGCGCTGCTCGACTCCATGCGCGACCACCGTGGCCTGATGATCGAGAGCAAGGGCAATGAGAAGAAGCAGGCCCGCATCAACTATGTTCTTCGCGCACACATGTTCGAGGTCCAGGCCAAGGTGCACGAGGCAATTCAGCAGGCCTTTGGCGAGCCTGGAAAGGAGGGAACTGCGGACGTTGATGGGAAGCGATTCGTCTACGCATTGGCTGCGGAGGTAGCTCCCTACGCCACCAAGATCCTCGGTTAGGTCTTGGACCTGTGGAGTCTCGAACCTTCCCTTGTGTATCGAGGTCCTATACCTGAACGGCAATGACGATCACCGACGGCGATACGAACCAGGGCATCAGAGAGAACCCGTCTCGCAGCGTGCGACAATTCCGGCGCGGTACAGGCTTCAACGACTACTCGGTCTTCTCGACGGCCTTCTCGAGATCCAGGAACGGGTTGATTCGGAGGATGGATGCGTCGTGGGGCCTGTTTTATAGAGAACCTACTACATGCACATGCAGCCCAATCGGGCCCAGCACTCGATCAGTCAACAGACGCTTTCCAATCCGTCTCAACGCGCCTCGTCTCCATGTTCCAGCCATTACATCTCCGCAAGGCGTCAAGGCAACCTAAGTTTTATGGTGTCACTGTCATGTAGTTCCATACAATTTGCAAAAGTCCAGGCATTTGTTGTGGTGTATTGGGATCCCATTCTTGGACGGTAGGGACGACTACCTCCAACAGCGATGACGAGTACCAAGTCTAAGAGAACCCGTCTGGCAGCATGTGTAGTTTCCGACGAAGTTCCAAGTGAAAGGGGAAAACCTTTACTCCGTCTTCTCGTTGCCCTTCTCCTTCTTGCTGTCGCCCTCCTCCATCTTGTCGTTGCCCTCCATCAGCTTGCTGCGATTGGCGGCGCGACGCATAAAATCCTCGAACCGCTTGTCCACCAGCTTCGCCATGTCATCAAGTACCTCCATCTTGTCTTTGATCATCTCCTCCTGGGCCTTGAGCTTCTTATCCAGGTCCTCGAGTCTCTGCTGCTCCTTCTCAAGCGCCGCCTGTCCCTTGCGAAGGCTCTGCAGTCCCTCCGCAAGCTGCTTATTGCCCTTCTGAACGACTCCAAGCAAACCGACCATAGTCGCCTGCTGCTCCTCGGCCATGGCTTGCTGCATTCGGAGGTCGTTGTTGATCTGCTCCAGCTGCATGTTGAGAGCGATGTGGCGGGTGATCTCGTACTGGAGCTGCGCGATGTACGTCTGTGGGTGAAAATTCGTTAGACCTTGCAAATTTCGAGATAGAGCGAGGGGAGATTGGTGTCACTTACCTGGAGGAGCTCAGAGTCCATGTTGAGGATGCTGTGGTCGGGCTTCTGAAGCATCTTGGTGGTTGAGAGGTGGCTAGGAGAAAAGTTGGTGATGGTTGTTTGTGAAGTAAAGTAGGGATTTTTGAGGAAACAAATTTCTGTGGGAAGGGAAAAACAAGTTGGAGGGAAACAGGGCCAAAGAGAGATTTTAGGCACGAGAGAGAGACTCGTCCTTGACGGCAGCCTCTCCCTCGTCCTTCACCTCCATGCACACGGCTGCCATGCCCCGAGTAGCCTCATCAACAGATTCCTCACCACCGTCAAAGAGCGCCTTGAAAGCCGGGTTGGCCTTGAGGACGGCAGCCAGTCTCTGCTCCTTAGCCTCGACAGCAGCCTTGATCTTGGACAGCTTAGCCTGCTCGACCACAACAGCAGCCTCCTTGGCCTCAACAACGGCCTGTCTCTCAGCCATCTTCTTCTCCATGGCCTCGACAGCAGCCTTGGTCTTGGACAGCTCGGCCTCCTCGGCATCAAGAGCGGCCATCTTCTCAGCTAACTCTTTCTGATAGGCGTCCATGGTGACCATTTTCTGTAGGAGTTGGGTCCGCTCCTCAAGGAGACGAGTCTTGTCCTTGGCGGTCTTGTCCAGGCTCTCGACTGCAGCTTGGAGTGACGCCTCAAGATTCTTCTCCCTCACAACATTCTCATCGATGCTCTTGTCAAGCTCAGCTTTCTTCTTAAGCGTCTCGCCAATGAGGCCCTTTTGCATGGCTTTGAGCTGCTCAACACGCGCTATGGCCTTCTTCTAGTTGGCTGCAGCTGCGTAATTCTGAGCAGTGGCGTGGACGTAGTTCTGATGGAGCTCCTAGGAAAGACGAGAGTAGTCAGTATTCAGGACCAAAAAAGGCCTCTTTGGGGTTTATCTTGGGGCGCGCTCACCTCAAGGATCTCAGGCTGGTCTCTGAAGGCAGAGATGGAGCTCTCGGCACGCTGCAACATCTTGACTGTTGAAGGGAAGCGTGCGATGGGTGAAAGGTTTAGTTCTTTATGGGGAATAGCAAAGGCGGACTTTCTGGTGATGTATGACTGTGCTGCTTTTTGTTGTGATGCGTTGTGTGAAAACAAAGTGTGGTTGTGTGAAGTTTGGTTGTTGAGGGGGTGACCTTGGGTGCCTTCCTTTTTGTTGTCTGGTGGTCTTGAGCAGGCGAAGGAAATTTTCAGCCCTTATGTAATCAGCCCTCACTACCTACCAGCCAGACAGAGAGTGTGAGGTGCCTTTTCTGCAAGTCGGCTTAGTAAGAGTTTTCAGGACAGTGTTTTGATATTAACGATGAGGTCTTCCTGTAGCAAGCAGTCTCTCTGTTGGACATGGATGCGTAAGATATCATACAACCAGCAACATGACGTTGACATCAGTATGCCTCCGTCCTGGCCCTTGATTATGTGTTTTTTGGTCATCCAATATGTCCAGTGAACGAATATAGCTGCCTCCCCCATTTTGGCCTTCTGGTGCGGACGAATCTCTTCCTAAAAGATCTTTCGCCGGCCAAGAACGTAACCAAGCACAACAGCACCCCCAAAAACGGCAGCGAAGAAGGCGTCGTTATACTCTGTAATGTAGAACATCGCATCTTCCCACTTACGGACGCGCTTCCCAAAAGCCTTAGTCCGAGCTTGAAGATCCGCCTCGCGCTTCTTGAGCATCTCCATATCTCTGACGAATGCCTTCTCCACTAACATCGCGTCTTCCCAGTCGCGCACGCTCTGATCAAAACAGTCGGCCTGAGCTTGAAGGTCTGCCTCTCGTTCCTCGAGAATCTTCATATTTTTGTTGAAGTCCGTTGCTACTTGGTCCTGGAGCGCTTTGAGACGCAACCTCTCGGCTGCGTGCATGGCGTACAAGCGACGAAGTGTTTCTGCGGCGTCCTTCGTGTGATGTGTTAGTATACTCCGCCAGGGATGGGCTGAGATGATGGGAATTACTTACTTGGATGCCTTCTTCATCGGTGAAGATCGCGCCTTGCGGGGGGTGAATCATGATGACGATGTGGATGCCGTCTGTGGAGGAGGGTAATGTGGAAGCAGCGAGATGAGGCTAAGCTGTAGACTTTCCGCGCGTATATGTACGAATGTATGGACTAGATGAGAAGAGGTCGATCGGAAACTCCGCAGTATTGCTTTGGGGGTCTCTACTTGTAAGTTATGGGCTGGGCTTCGGAGAAAGCACGACAAGTACCCATCGTGGTCATGCGGGCCAACCTTCATAGCCAACCTTATCGGAGTTCCCGGCTTCTCGTGTGCTGCTAGATTGTTCCTGAAGGTCCCAATCAACGGTGTAACCTACCCATGGGAAAAGAAACGATATTTTTACTGCGTCTATCAAGGTGTTCATGTATAGATGAACCCATTCCCGGGAGGGTAATCCAGCAACTGGGTATCTCCCAAGCTCAACCCCAGCTATAGTACATCCTGTAGTGTTTCCTAATCCTGAAGTCCATGCCAGTACCTCAACCCAAGAGGTTCAAGATATCCATCTCCATCTGAGCAATCTCGTCTCTCAAGGCAGCAATGTGAGCCGGGGGTGTGATGCTGGATCGACGGACCCCCTCAATGGTGAACAAGCCACACCGGTCTTGACAAACAGCATTCTTGGATGCAATCTCAATATGGTCCAGCTTAAGCTTGGGCCTGCTCTGGATGGAGGCACCCAGTGTTTCATCCTGCTCATCCTCTTCGTCCTCCTCAAGCTCCTTCCAACTTCCATTATTGATGGTCTTTGCCTTCACAATGGCTTCCAAAAGGTTCTTGTTCAGCTCGTCCGCAGCCTCAAGGGCCTTGTCCGCGTTGCGGTTGAGGACAAGGGCAGTAAGGGTGGCATTGTACATTTGCTCGTGCGGCGAAGAGTTGATGATGGTTTCATCGGCCAGTCCTTTGTGATAGAAGCGGCCATTCTCATCCCTTGCGTGAGTACAGTCGGAGTGGCCAATGCGAAGCTTCACAACGCACTCGCTGGGCTGGTCCCAAAGGTCGTCAGCAGCCATTCGCTGACGCGCGTTGAGCTGCTTACCTGGTAATACCAGTTCCCTTGCGAGTCCATACGGTTGGGAGCATCCTCTGGGTCGAGGCCTGACTCGCTGTCGAGGTCGGAGATCGTGTGGGCTATGGAAGGGGGGCGGTTGCGCCAGGCTTGCAGTAGGTACTCCTCGTTCTCTTCGTCGTTGCCGGTGATGTGGTCCCAGATGCGGCGGGCTGAGGAAAACCACATGCTGCCCCCTCCCTTTCCCTTGATGCGCTGCTAGAACTTCTGGGGAGATGAGAAGGATGCGGTGGATTTCTTCTGCTTTTTGAAGCTGGCGGCGGCTCGATCGATGAGCTTGGAGAAGAAGTTGTCTCTCTTTGGCTGTTGTTGCTCCGTGCGAGACTGCTTGATGCGAGAGTACTCTGTGTCGCCTCCTCTGAAAAGTCTCGAGAAGAAGTTGCCCTTCTTGGGAGCTCCAGGTGACTTCCGTACGCGGGCGTAATCATCTGACGGGAGAAAGCTAGATGGCCAGGCAGGCTCGTTTGGGTCGTCAGATCTCGGCATGTTGGGCGACGATCTGATTTATCGCGGAAGGAATCTGGCGGTTCGGGCTTTCTGCGTCCGACGCGGTGGTGGAAATGGCGTTTATGATCGTGGGAAGGCAGAACTTGAAATTGGGTATTTTGGGTGAGGGAAGTTGAGCTCTGGCAGGTGCCCGGTAGCGGGGATGCAATTGTTGTGAGGACAGGAAGGTGCGGGCTTTGGCAGCACCTGCCATCGCTACCTGCCAATTTCCCTCAAAATAAATGCCTTTGACATGGGCAAAGCCAAACCAAAAGTATTTTTCTTTTACAAAGTTAACAATGACATCATTTTGCTTTTCCATTGTCTTTCTCCTGTAGCTATCAAATACACTTTTAATTACGCAGACGCGTCCTCATCGAGCTCAGGGTAGTGGCGGTAGATGCCATCTTTGTACTTTTGTCTACGCTCGCTGGCAAGATACGCCTTGATCTTGGGGCGCTCCTTGACGGCATCATACAGCTCGAAGAGACTCTTGTACTCGCCGCTTCCCTCAAGGCGCTTCAGCGCGTTGGGAAACGCGAACTTGAGGCCATCGAGGCACTGTTTCGATTAGCTCAGATCTTCGGTCAGCCGTCATAATTTGACTTACCTGGAACAGAACCAAGTCCGCGTACGAAAGCGAGCCTCCGTAGAGCCAGGGACCATCTCCGCTCGCCTTACCCTTCAGCACCCTCTCGAAGTAACCGAAGAACTTAGGCAGACGGTTCTCGATGTAGTCCTTCGCCTTGCGCTTGCTCTCCTCCTTCTGATCCTCGTAGTAGAGCCCAGTCGCGACGGGGTGGTGCGTGTCGTGCGCTTCGTTGCTCAAGCCATCCAGCGCTGTCAGGGCAAGGCCGTTGATGCGGTAGATGGCATCCTCGTCGTCCTCCGGCTTGGGCGCGAGACCGATGCGGGGACCCAGGTACTGGAGGATGTTGGGCGTCTGGCTGAGGAGGAGGTCGCCGTGCTTGAGAATGGGCGGTGCCAAGGGCGGCGGGTTGAGCTCGTCGCCGATGTTCTTGTCGTCGATCTGGGCGAGAACTTCTTTGATACCATCCTCCTTGTGCGCGGTGTCGGTGTATTCGGCGCCGGCCTCTTCGAGGGCGAGACGGATGTGCTCACCGCGGCCAGGAAGACCGGGCCAGTAGATGAGCTCGTACGGAACGTCCTTGGAGGACTTCTGTCGCTTCGCACTGGGTGAGGTGGCCATGCTGGAATGTCTGTGTGGTGAGAATAGGTGTGATCGGATGAGGCGGGTGAGCTGAGGATAGCTGATAGGATAGCTGATGAGGTGGAAGATGTAGTTGAGTGAGGAATCAGAGATGGCGGTGAGATCTTAAAAGTAACGGGAGGCTGGAATGAAGTCATAAGGCATGTTCGGGTCAGCTTGCCGCCAGGAACGACGGCGGGGTAGTGGGGCCCCAACATCCGATTGCGGGGCGATACGGCAGAATGACGAACGGCTGAGCCGCCTCCGTGTTCCGTGCATGCGGGCAGCCGCGCCTTCAGCTGAGAAACAAGCCAATGGAATGTTAAATCTCATATATTTGAGATGATCACAAACCAGCCACTCGGATATAACTGTGCAAGCACAGGTATCGGCTTACGGAACTTGTGTCAGCAAAGTAGTGTCCGCCCGCCGGCAAGCACGACTCAGACAAAGTTCAGTGCTGCATCTCTCTGAATGTTGATTGGATTTCACGCTTGCCAAGACGCGACATCAGTTAAAGTCCCATGCGTTCACGGAACTTGGCTTTTCTATCCGGAAACCAGAAGCTGACATGGCCCAGTCCCGCGCCGGGCCCTTTATGCTTCCGTGGTGGGCCAAGTACCGAACGGCGCCGAGGTAGGCCCCGCTTTCCGCCGATCAATGAACGGCGCCGGGTGCCGTGATCGACCTAAATCCTACCGCAGCGCAAGGTTAACGACCCGTCATCCTGTGATGGATCGGAGCCGCGGACTCTCGTTTTTTAACAGACTCACAACAACTCCTCGGAACCTTCCCTATCATGTTACTTGGCGTCTCAAGCGTTGTGAAAAATGACAGTAACAGCGGACTTGTGGGTTCTCAGCGCTTACCAGGCTACGATGTGACAGCTGCCTCTCTGCTGCTTGGACCTCCGCGGCCATGGAGAGGATTTATTCCCATGATCAATATCCCTAATTTGGGCCAATTGTAGCAATTGCATATTCCCACTGAACAGGTTTGCTCTCCTGTTACCGAGTAAGCCGGAGCGAACCCCGGGTCAGAAATCAGGTGCTTCACCCCAGTATCCCCACATGTGTCCCTGACATTGCGACCAACACGGCAAATCAGACCATGGCCTCAGCGCACTTTGACGAGCCAAATGATCTGATAAACCAGTATGGTGATAACCGAAATACCGTGATCTTGGCATTAATCCGCGATACCAAAGGAATATAGTTGTCTCGCTGCACACGTATACCAAACGATTCCTCTCCTGCTATCCTCTTCCGCTCAAATTGAAACGCGTGGTGACAACCCATTCTCCAACCATTTATTCAACCATATACCGCTCTTCCTCTACAACATCGAAGCTTTCCGACTGGATCTTCTCCATTCCCCAACCGACCACCGCCGGCCTCATCCTTGAAACCTCCGGCCAGCCGAACAACCCCGCATACCCCTCTTACACGCTTGCTCCTCATAATGACAGCTACTTCGCGAGCAGCGAGATCATTCCTCCTGCGCGCCTCAAGATCAACACTGCCCGCTCTCTCAAATACCACAAAGCTATCGACTACGCTGCACCACAGAACAATCGCCGCAAGCCCACTCACTCTTCGCTACCTCTCTACAATGAAGGCCCTCGTGTACGGCGGCAACAACTCCGTCGCTCTCCAAGACAAGCCCCTCCCAGAGCTCGTGAACCCCTCAGACGCCATCGTCAAGATCCTCAAGACCACGATCTGCGGCTCGGACCTGCACATCCGCAAAGGCGACGTCGCGACCTGCGCGCCCGGCCGCACCCTGGGCCACGAGGGCGTCGGCGTCATCCACAAGACCGGCGCCTCCGTGTCCCGGTACAAGCAGGGCGACAAGGTCCTCATCTCGGCCATCTCGAACTGCGGCACCTGCGAGTACTGCCGTCGCGGAATGTTCAGCCACTGCACCACCGGCGGCTGGGTCCTCGGCAACACGATCGACGGCACCCAGGCCGAGTACGTGCGTATCCCGCACGCCGAGTCGAGTCTGCATCCCGTGCCTGAGGGTGCGGATGAGGCGGCGCTGGTGATGCTGAGCGACATCTTCCCGACGGGGTATGAGTGCGGCGTGCTCTGCGGAAAGGTGCAGCCTGGCGGTACGGTTGTTGTCGTTGGCGCTGGACCGGTTGGGTTGGCTTCCATCATCACGGCGCAGATGTATTCTCCGTCCAAGATCATTGCGGTTGATATGGACCCGAATAGACTGGAGGCAGCGAAGAAGCTTGGCGCGACCGATGTCGTCGATAGCTCCAAGGGCACTGCTGTTGCTGACATCAAGGCTATGACGGAGGGTAAGGGCTGCGATACTGTCATCGAGGCCGTCGGTATCCCGGCGACGTTTGATCTCTGCCAGGAGTTGCTTGCACCCGGTGGGGTGTTGGCCAATGTTGGTGTTCACGGAACCAAAGTGGACCTTCACTTGCAGAATCTCTGGGACAAGAACGTTGGTGAGTCGCAAAACGTACACTTTTTGCCTGAGAAACGAGACTAATGAGGACCTCTAGCCATTACCACTAGACTTGTGGACACCACTACAACGCCCATGCTGCTCAAGCTTGTCCAGTCCGGCAAGCTGCAACCCTCTCAGCTGATTACTCATCGTAAGTCGATCTGAAATCTTGCGTACTAGATTCCTTGACTGACAGCAGCCATAGACTTTAAACTCAGCGAGATGGAGAAGGCGTATGAGACGTTTGGTGAAGCTTCCAAACACGGTGCTCTCAAGGTCGTCATTGATGTCGCCTAAGCGTTTCAGCTACGAAGCAGAGTACATTCCCGCAAAGATGATGTTTGTCATTTTGAGAAAATTCATGTTCATTCAAGAAAGGAAGCGGATACATGTTGGTTGTGATACCAGACTGAGATGGCGGTGGGTGGCGTTGTAGCTTTGAGGTTGTGGCTATTGCATTCACATTATTCGAGTTTTGCATAATTCATTGGCTGTCTTTGCAAACAACGCAATATTTCGTGCTGATGCTTTCTCCTTGTTTACTGACTATCAGGTGCATAAATAGCGCTGGGCCACTTCGTAACTGCTTGGTACAGCTGCTTACCCATTCAGCTTGATGAGACAGCGGTGGCCGCTGGGCACCATCAAGAAGTGCAATGCAGGCTCCATATCCTTATCACACATGCCTTCCAGCTCAGAAACCGTCGCTTTCGGGAAGTTTCGGAAGAAGCGAGCAGTGATCAAGCGAAGCTCGATGCGCGCCAAGTGACGACCAAGGCAGGCTGCGGTAGTTGTTAGAGTTAGAGTACCATCATTGACATTGAGAGACTGTGAGACTTACTCCTTGAACCGCCTCCGAAAGGCATGGTGCAATCCTTCATTTCTTGGGTCGTGTTCTCCCATCTGTCGGGGTAGAAGCGATATGGATCCGGGAAAGCGTGCTCATCGCGATGGAGACTGTAAGCCTGCGTCGTCACCGTCGCGCCCTCGGGGATGAAGTGGCCTGCGAGCTCAGATCCTCCCGCAGGCACGATCCTCGGAAGACCGCACGGCAGAGCTGTGTACAGACGCAACGTCTCGTTGACGATCCAGTTGAGATACTGCAGCTCTCTCAATTCGTCGTAGCCGAAGTCCTCGCCCAAAGTCTCCAGTTCCTTCAAAAGCTTCGCCTTGACGTCTGGCAGCTTACATACTGCCCAGATGAGATAAATCATGGAATTGGCTGTCGTGTCGCTGCCGCCGACGATGAAGACCTGGGCGTTATCTCGGATCTCGATCGGTGACCAGGTGTCCTCCGCACCGGCGGTGTACAGCTTCGAGAACACAGTCGGCTTGGGATCGTCGCCGAGTTCCTCCACGCGCTTGGCGTGACGGTCGAGCGCGCTCTGAGCGTAGTCGAATGTGCGGTACTGGATCTTCGTGGCGTCCCTGAAGACAGGGATGGGGAGGTACAAAGAGAACCACGATATCGTTGGGAACATGGATCGCAGGCCGCCGACGAAACCAAGACTGACGAAGTCGTTGACGGAGCGGTTTTTCTGTGCACATCAGCCTCATGCCTTTGCGGGCGGCTCAAACTCGAGTCAGACTCACCACGCCACTCTCAAGCTGTCCGAAGCCCTCGCCAAAGGTCAAGTCGCCAATGACGTCGAACGACAGGAACATGAACCACTTCGCGATATCGGCAGCACCCCGCGTCTTATCCTCCTCGCGGATGCGCTCGATAGCGAGCCGGACTTTGCCGTCGATTCGCGGCAGGAACGTCTTCAACCCAGTCTCCGACATGGGGTTAGACAGGAGTCGCTTGTACTTGCGGTGTACCTCTGGTCGAATCTCGTTGAAGACGCTGGAGGAGTCGGTGATCAGAAGCGAGTAGAAGGGCGACTTGAGGAAACCGCCCTTGACGCTGTGGATGCGCTGGCATGTTGGCGGATCGGAGATGTCGACCTCGTGCGGGCTGATGCGGACGACGGGGCCGTATTTTGCGTGTAGAGCGTGCACCCAGTCCGGGTGGTGGGCGGTGATGACGAAGTATGTTGAGACTAAGGTTGTGTATCTTGTATACCACGGTCCTGGGACGTTTGATAAAGGGTTTGTGAGACCTTGATATATGTACTTTGATTGTTTGTTAGTTGCAGTTGAGTCGACTGCGGGTAAAGACACGACATACCGTGGCCAGAGCGACACACACAAGTGCGCCCCCGAGATACAGGGGGTTTGTTTTGACGAAATCCATTTTTAGAACAGTTCACCAACTAGAATACTGGCCGAGAAACAATTCTGTCAAACAGCCTCATTCGAGGACGCATGTCTCTTATAAACAAACAACAGTCTCTGCCTTACATGATCTATAATCTGCCGGAAACCCCCAATCCAACCGAGAGAACACGTTGGTAATCAAATAAGTAGAAACAGGTGGTGTGAAACCATCTTGAGGCGGCTGAGGAATTCCGTGTCGACAATGAGATGATGACTCGACCAGTCAAGTCGGGGCACAGAATCGGAGTGGGTGTCGCGGGGGAACCACTGGAGTCGTCCGGTGTGCAAGGTTTGCTGTCCAAACATGAACGTCCGAGGACCCACGCCGTCATCGAGGAACGCAATCGGTAGAAGTCTTGCGAACCACCCGTAGGGTTCCAGTCCGAAGAGGAGATCGGATGAGGAACAGAGTCAGTCATGAGCGTTGTATTCGCTTGACCCGGCTTTTACGGACAAACAACTCTCGGCAATCGGTTGAAGAAAGCCCGTCCGGCGGTAGAAAGAACCGGTAATCAACGTGACGGCAGCACTGCAAGATTTCCAGAATTCTGGCGGGCTATTTTATGGTTATTTAATGTCGACATTGATAGTGCATGATTTGACAGCGGATATGCACGCCATCGCCTCACTCACTTTTGCGTTTAGTCCGAACACGAGAACACTCCATTTCAGAGGAAACTTCATAAGAATCAGCGCCGGTACTTCACCGGACAGATCTGAAGTTTCAGATTACAGAACTTAGTTGTCTTCCATTATCAAGTGATAGTGTGCTGCTATAAGTAGGTCGGAATGATTAGCACATAATAAAGCTTGCTGCTAAACATTTGAAGCTGTTCAAATCGCTTTTACCTAAACCTGCTTGTGCAGCTCATCTTCGATCTCAAGTTCAGTTAGCGAGAACCCATGGATGCAATGCCTATCTCGACGCAATTGACTTCCCGAAGATTTAAGCTTATTACTCAAACGGAACAAAACATGTTAATAATTCTTTAGTCAAGCTACAGGCCTTGTTTGATTGGCGAATCCTAGATGACGCTTCAAAACCAACTCACGCTGTCCTTCCGGAATTCCCGCCAGATAAGAGATTATCGCGTAGTTACGATTTCAGTCATTTGACATGCTGGACTTTCGTAATGGGTCGGGAAAGCATTTTACGGTGAGAGCAGAACGTGAACTTAGGCCGGTCGATGAGCGACTCCACGATTCTCAGCGAAGTTACACTGCAACAAACTGATGGCATTCCTGGTCTTCATGAACTTGAAGTTACTATGGTATCTTGCGGCCGATTATTGTATGATTTGCAGAGCAAATCAAAATTCGACACAAAATCTCTGTGATTCGAAGAAACAGAAACGCGGGGGGCAATTCTGTACCGCGGTGATAATCTGCGCATCTGGCACCATCACCAGCATCAAGCACGTCATTCCTAGCCTCCCGGTCAGCAATCCCCAACATGCAGCGGATTCTCCGCGAAGTGCCACCCAAATTTCTTCTGATTCTCACTTTCAGGGCCCTTTTCCCGCTTTTAAGCATGTTTTGGCCCATGAACCATCCTGACGAGCAGCTCTTTGGGACACCCATCCAGCGCAAGTCCCTACATCTCAGCTAACCAAGGGCTCCACCCACATCCTCTTTCGACATGGCAATTCTCCGGGCTGAGGGTTTAGACGGAAGCAACGTCGGGCAACTCCCGGCGGGGCCATTTCCATTCGTCTTTGCCACGAGGAGCCCTCGCGGGATGGGCGACCCTCTGGCGTTGGTCGGGCAGTTCCCGACTTCCGGGGGTGCGCGGAAGCGGGACTCATTCCACAAATCTAGGCCTTGTAAATGGATAAAGCGCATGGCACAAGGCCGAGCATCTCTGGCGCAATCGATAATGTGAGAGGATTCTGACGTGCAGGGGTTCGGAGATGGCAGATATCAATCAGTTATCCCATCTTCAGGGAACTGATGTTCTCGAACCAGATGGTCAGCTTGAGTCGCGCCAACCCAGACTCACTCCCAGAGCAGGCATCGAATTCCGCCAGAACGAGCGACACTTAGCCCAGCAGCCCAAGATGGCGCTGAGCAATACGGTTCCGCGGAAACAGTGGTGGAAGATACAATGGTTCTCCGACGATGATACACCCGAAGAACGCAAGCTTATCATGAAGCTTGACATGATCGTCGTCCCGTACGCTGTGCTGAGTTACTGGGTCAAGTATATTGATCAAGCCAATTTGAGTAAGTCTTCACGTTAAAGGACTTTTAGGGCGGAGACTAATCGCTACAGACAATGCCTATGTCGGAGGCATGAAGGAAGAGCTCGGCTTCGAAGGAAACGAGTTGGTCGAGTTACAGACGATGTACACAGTTGGAGCAGTCGTCGGGATGTTTCCGTTCATGTTCTTGTTCACCTACGTCCCCATGTACTGGACCATTCCCGCCATGGACATTCTCTGGGGTGTCTTCACACTTCTGCAATATCGCGGACAGACCTTCGGAGAGATGGCAGCATATCGCTTCATGGTCGGCTTCTTTGAGGTATGTCGTGTTTTTCACCTCGCTGGTTGCTTTTGCCTCGTCAGATGGGCTCTTTGAGTTAACATATCGTCCCTAGGCTGCTTTCTTCCCCGCTATGCACTACGTGTTCGGCTCCTGGTACCGCGGCCATGAACTCGCACGAAGAGGAGGAATCTTCTACACCGGCCTCAATCTCGGAACACTCACGGCAGGCCTCATCGCCGCTGGAGCTTCCCGTCGCTTGGAAGGCGTCCATGGCATGTCTGGTTGGCGATGGATGTACATCATCTGCGCCATCATTACCATCCCCGTCGGAATCCTCGGATACTTCCTGCTTCCTGGCACCGTCGATCAGCCGAATCGCTGGGTTCTCAACGACCACGACATCAAGCTTTCCAAAGCACGTCTCGAAAGGGGTGGCCACGTCACCCGTGGAAAGTTCAAGTTCGGCCACCTAAAGAAGATCTTCCTGAGTCCTCAGTTCTGGACCGTGGTACTCGTCGATGTTCTGTTCTGGAACGCTGGTATCCACAAGAGCACGGGCAGCTTCTTGCTCTGGATCAAAAGCTTGGGTCGCTACACACCTGCAGAGGTCAACGAGATGGGCACTATTGCCCCAGCGCTCGGAATCTTTTATAATCTGGTAGCTTGCTTCTTGTCCGACTTGGTGCTGGGGCCTGCGTGGGCTATTACATTCTCATCGCTATGGAATGTGACGGGCCTCATCATTCTAGTTGTATGGGATGCTCCGGAGGGTGCCAAATGGTTCGCGTTTGCCACCATGTACTGGTCCAACGCGCTATCGAGTGTCCTCCACGGCTGGGTCAACACCATTCTTCGAGACTCTCCCGAGCAACGGTCCTTCACACTCGTCATGATCACCATCATTGCACAATCATCAACAGCATGGACGCCCTTGTTGACATTCCCCACGGTCGAATCCCCGAGATACCCCAAAGGATTCTCCTTCTGTCTTGGGTGTGCGATATCACTCATCGTAGCGACGCATGTCTTGGACGTCTACATCAAGCGCAAAGAGTGAGTGTCCAATCTAAACGCATTTTGATATAGCTTTTACTAATTTTGAAACACAGGGCGGCTAAACTTGCGAATATCGAAAACGCGAGCGACAATACTGTTGACCATTCCCAGGAGACTCCGAATGTCTCGGGCAAAACTGCAAGCGCTGAAGTCGCCACTGCTGCCAACACCTCAGAGGAGTCTATTGCTCGGCGTTGAAGTTTCAAGTACTAGTCAACAGTCATACAAGATTTCGAGGCTATTTAATTTCAATGTCGCATGCTTGATGGATCTTTGTTGTAGTAGTTACTAGTTGATGCGCCTTAAATTGACGATCTTTGAAAGACCAAGGCAATTTGAGCACGAGTTCACACTGATTCGTCACGATATATTGACATTGCATTCGCAAAAGTACTTCGAATTAGGCATTACTGAAGACCCCCATCCGCATTCAATCTCGCCCCTTCTCTCAACCTAGAGCTCGTTGTTGGCGCAGCTATTGACACCAATTTCAGGCTTCCATTGACGGAGGGGCTTTCACGCCTTCCTCTTCGTAACAGCGAGGCCTGTTTTCACAGCTTGCTTGACGAGATAGGATAGTGGGTCCTGACTGAGAAATCCAGCTGCTTCCAGGCTCTCACGCTTACGCTTCAAGTATTGCTGGGCCCATACGCGGCATTCAGAACATTCAAGAGTACCGATTTCAGCATTGATTGCCGCGGCCGAGGTACGAATAACGTCATGGCTCCTGTCCGAGGCCTCAAACTCATCTCGAGTGGGAATTCCAAGCCCGGCTTTTCTGAATTTCAGTAATATCTTGAAACAGATATGGGCTCTGCATTTGAAATGACGGTCTTTGACGTGTTGATTGGACACGTCGATGTACCGATCCGTATTGTGGCTCGTCGCATATCCGAGTTCCTCTCGCTGAACGGCCTCAAACAGGTCGACGTACGGTCCGAACTCAATCTTCCGCAAAGCCTCTCGGGCGGCCATGAACATTTCTGTCGCGGGTAAGACTATGCCTTTTTGTGTTTGCACTCGGCCGGGTAATCAAATGTTACACATACCTTCGAACTCGGACAGGGTCATACTCATAAAGTTGAGCGGAAACATGTGCCTCATCATAGTGCCACGTCCGGGGACCCAGATCGGCTCCAGTTGTTCATACGGTGGCGGATCTCCGTAAACAAAATCTGGATTATACTCCAGCTCGCCTCGCGATGTCATCTGCCATCCATGGGCAAAGGCTTTGAGAGCTTCTTGCAACAGTTGCGCGTCTCCAAGCTCTCTCGCGATGTATAACAAGGCAGGCTGTTCCAGGTCGTCGCTGATGCCTTCAACCCATGCTCCCGCCCAAGGCCGAATGACCTCCAGCGCGTCGTACTTATCGAGCAGTACGATAAGGTTATAGAGGTCCCGGGTGCTGAGAGTCTGGGGAACCGAGCCGAAGTTGCCATGCGTGATGTTGAGGAAGAGTTTCATGGGCTTGATGGCGTCGTCTGGCAGATTGATCACCCAGTCGCCGCTCGATGGACGCGATTCGACAAAGTTGCCGTTGAACATCCTCATGAAGACCGGAGACGCGCGCGCGACGGTTCTCGAGCATACTTGGTATTGCTCGAGGTGAGGCCCGACGCACAGAGTTAAGTCCCCGAGGCTGTCGATGAGTATTTTTTCCGAGTTGTCGCCGGCTTCTGATGGGGTTGGATAATCTTCGTCATCGCTGACCGACATGTTATGATCGCTAGACGACATGTTTTCGGAGACGTTCTTCAAAGAGGTAAAGATCTGAGGTAGGAAGAAGCCAAGTGTTGGCTGGAAAGATTCGTGCAGGCCACGACAAGAAGACACAATGAATGAGCAGGACGAGATGGTTCCTCGCAGCCACGAAGACTCGGGCGAGAGATTAATAAATACATCGAGGTGAAAGAGGGGTTGGACGACGGAACGCGATTAGATGCAGCGTGAAGCCGGGGGAAAACAGACCCCAGCTGGTTTTACCCTATCAAGACAAATAAATCCACTGGGATTCTTCGAGGATAAATGGAGAAATTCGAGGCCGGGGTGTATTCGCGATAACTCGAGACTTTTAATGACGTCAACGTGCTGCTTCACGAGATTTGAGAAAAGAAAAAGCAAAATATCCATGCCAACAGCGTTACATTATCAACGAATTCTGTGGCTGTGCCTTATCGTGCATAGAAATGAATCATGGACGGATCCGAACGCCAAACATTGAAGAATTAAATAAACATGGATTCGAATCCACTTGTTCTTCAACTGAATGGAATATTGTGCATCGACACTGCCCTTCTTGGTGTCCCACCGGGTTTTCTCCTGTACATAATTTGTCTGCTAGGTGACCATATTTTTTGAGCTACGGAACTTGGCCAAGACATCGCTAAGAGTCACTTTGCCGGGCCTGCCGAGAAGAAAAAAAAATTGGCAAGTCACAGAGAAGTTGCATAAATGCCTATCATCATCGCTCATGACTTGATTTACATTAGTTTATACTCCTGTCAGCGAAATCGTACAGACATGTTGGAGGCCTTGACCTGCGCCGCAACATCAAAACTCCGGCTGCCGCTTAGCCAGTGTTCTCATATTGCTGTGATTAAATTTTCGGGACGTTCGCATCTGCCGAGAAAAGCCGTGAGGTTCGTGACCGTGTCGCCTGACCAGTCCACCGCGGGCATCACCCCGAAATGGTCCCGACAGCCCGGAGAATGTGGGGTAGCGCCGGCACACCGATCGGAGCCCAAAGAGGGGCCACCAGGTGCCGGCCCAGTGACCCGGAGCTGGTGACGCCTCCGTCATGACACAAGAAACCTCTTGGGTAGTGAGGAGAACTGCATGAATCATGAGGTTTTCTCATGACGCAGAACCCCCTGGAAGTTTCCTTATATCCCTCCCTTTTGGAGTCTTGACAGCGACTCAGCGCGCCTGGATGCGACCGGCGCAGCAAGCAGCACACCACCAAAAGATGCCCTTTAGAATCACGACCCCCTTGCACTTAAACATCCAACCAATCACAACGGGAAGACCACTAGCAACTTGGGAGCTGCAGCATCACTTTAGCCGCCTCTCACCCGCCCTAATCCCGCTGTTGGCAAGGTGCCATCGAGCCTTTTCACATGCTCTGCTTTGGGCCAACGTGGACAAATAGCCGGCCAGGGACGGCTTTTGAAAATCTCTGCTTGAAACTCGCTTGCTTGACCAGAGCCAACATCAGCTGCCTGTTGGGTCGAAAAGGAGGGCAACTCCCTCCCTGAAGTAATCGAGACACCTGTCAGAGACGCAGCTGGCCGCGTATGCTACTGTTGCTTTTTCCTTCTGCATCGCTTCTTGCCAACGCGCAGATTTTCTCATGATTCATCTTAAACCCCAAGACGGTAAGGAGGGGGAAACTAGTTAATTGATACCGCCACAAAAGTGACCCAAGTCGATGTCTAGATCTTGCAGCTACTAGCACTAATTACACAACTGCCGCTAGCGTAGTGGCGCTCAGGTACCATTTCTCTCTTCTGACTGGCCAGTCGTACAAGGTCGTCCAATATCTCTCGCTCGCCTGATTGTCTCTCCGTAAGCTTGGTCGTCATCTCGAAGGTGACTGGACCACGACGAGAACAGTAACCAGCTTGGCGAGGACGCGGAAGAAACATGAAGACTAAACAGTCTTTGGAGGGTCATTCGAATTCTCAAAGGGGGTCTCCTCGAGCCGAGTGCCACTTCCCGCGTGGCATGGCCAAGGACAAATGAAACCCCCCAACCAACCAGATATACCAAAGACGTGCTGGGCCGCGCCGCTGGTACCGAGCGAAGTCATCCACACTCGGCTTGGGGTGCAGGATTCGATGTTCAAGGGTAGTCATCCTCCGGCCTTGATTGGCACTGCTCGAGATGAGACGACGCCTTAATCGACGCGTCTCCCGACGGGAAAATCTCCTTGGCAGAGGTCTAGATCTAGGATGATGCTTCTGTGGCTGTTCATTGGTTCCCCGTAAGTGCCTGCATCATCTCTCTTGACACTCTGCAAGTTTGTCGAGGAGGCAATCTACCCAAATTCCATGCATCGCTCAGCTTCTTTGGGAATAACGGCCGGTTCCTCAACATATACTAAGTGGCCCGGACTTACCTTCGAGGCAAGGGGATATACAGAGTGAGGCGCCGGTTGGCCTACGGATAATCTGTCTCAACCCAGTAAGCCGCTGCTTCGGCCGCGTGCTGTCCTATTCCCGTGGGCTAACTGGGCAGCTACGTGCCATCTGACGTCCCATACTCCATCTCCGGTTCTGTGCAACCCCAGAATCCGAAGTCCTGGAGACTAACGTCCGCTCTCCTTTTGCACCATTCAACGAAAGATGGGAAGTATCGATGGTACTCTAGGGTCTGTTCAACTTGAAAAAGGAAAGGCGAAACTGCTACCTCTTCTGCGTGGTATTCAGGCACCTTGCAGATGCGGTCTAGACTTCGTCTTGCAAGCTGGTCTGATGAAATGCCCTGTGGTCGAGCCGAAGCAGCCCTTAGCCGCCTCAGCATCTTCATTTCTTTCCGTAAGCCGTCCCTCAAATATGTTCTGCATATAACGGGTACAGTCCCATGATTGACTTCTCCGTCTTGTTCTCATGGTCTCTCTTACCCACCCTCGTGCGACCCCACGACTCTTTTCATCATCGTGATCTTGTTAGTCAAGACATGTCATTCTTTGGACTATAATCTCACATTCTTCTCTCTTTTATAAAGCGCAGCATATCACAGTCCTTTCTGCCAGTCGTTGTTTGTCCGAACCTGAATCACTCCTTCTAGCGATTAGCCTACAAGCACACATTCCTTTCCAACGAACGTCAACATGCATCTCAAATCCCTCCTCTCAACCGTCCTTGTCCCAGTCAGTCTAGTGTCTGCCTGGGATGCCCCCTCCTACGCCGGGTTTACCCGCATCTGGCAAGACAACTTCGCGGGCGCGGCCGGCGAGGGTGTAAACAGCGGCAACTGGAACATCATCACCAACCTGCGCGTCAACAACGAGCTGCAGGACTACACCACCTCCCGCTCCAACCTCCAGCTCTCCGGCGGCAACACCGTGCAGATCGTCCCCTGGAGGACCACCGCCGGCGGCTGGACCTCGGCGCGCATCGAGTCCAAGTACACCTTCACCCCGGCCGCGGGCCGCCTCACCATGGCCGAGGGCTACATCCGCTTCGGCGACAACCCCATCGCGAACAAGCGCGGCATGTGGCCCGCCTTCTGGATCCTGGGCGACGCGATCCGGAACGGCGTCGGCTGGCCCCGCTGCGGCGAGCTCGACATCCTCGAGACCGTCAACGGACAGCTCACGGGCTACGGCACCGTGCACTGCGACGTCAACCCCGGCGGCGCGTGCAACGAGCCCAACGGCATCGGCGGAGCGACGGGTATTCCCGACCAGGGATGGCACACCTGGCGTATCCAGTGGGATCGTCGGTCGAACTACTGGCAGACCGAGACGATTACTTGGTTCCGCGATGGGCAGCAGTTTCACCAGATTTCCGGTGCCCGTATTGGAAGTGAAGCAATCTGGAACACGCTTGCTCGCGCACCGCTCTTCTTCATCTTGAATGTTGCTGTTGGAGGCAACTGGGTGAGTCTTATGTTACCCTTGTCGTTTTGTTAATACTTACTGACTGGTTTAGCCCGGCAATCCCGATGCCTCGACGCTGGCTGGGTACGGCAGCATGATGGAGACGGCCTACGTTGCTGTCTACCAGTCTTAGATGGAACGCCTTCTCGTCCGACATTCGTTTGAGATGGACTTTTGGATCCTCGCCCGTTGCAGCTATTGCAATCCACGCACTCGCTGTACATATGTAACTAGCATACTTAGATACCCTTTCGCGATTTAGCTTATTAACAATCACGCTCGTTGATTACCGGAATCACAGTTACTTTCATTTTGTGACTGACACGCATCGAAGTGCATTATGTTCGAGAGTATAAACTTGTTTACTACCTCCCTATCCAGTCATGCCCGGTGTCTAAAATGAAGTGCATGTACGCTCAACCGCCAACCTATATCATCTCTTTGATGTCTTCGGCTACTTTTCTGATACCATTCTACATTTAATCATAGAACACGAGGCATCTAACCTCAATGCTCTGGCGGCCCTTGGCATCTGCAGGCGTAGCAGGATCAACAAAGGCAGTGTGAGGGGTCAGCCCTGCCAGCCCATCCTTGCCGCCAACGTTCTGACTCCTCGAGTCAAAGCACTTGATAAACATAGCCTCGTCAGGCGTCATGTCCTTCATGTAGTACAGCTTATGCTTATCGTTTGGCGCGATAGCATAGGTCTCACCTGTGCAACGTCAGAAACTGTCCGCTCGTACGATGGCATGAAATGTGACTTACCCTTGACCTCATACGCCTCAATCGACTCCGCTGAGGTTGCCTCGGGAAGCACCTCCTTGCCCCGATCGTCATCATCGCCGTCCGTCCTCTTCGGGTACAGCAGATCTACAGCAATCAGGTCTTCCGGCACCGTCGTCCGCCAGTCGATGACGGCCAGCGGGAAATCTGTCGCGGGGTGTCCGATCGGTCTCCAGACGTTGATGATCTGATACCGTCCCTTCAACAACTCCTCCGCCTCGTTCTCGGGAACATGCCTCCTCACGCGCACCTCAGCTGCACGTGGCGTCTGGTCGACGTGAACTTGCTGAACGGGCTGTCTCGGGCTCGACTTTTCCCTGCGGCGAATGGTGTGGTCGAAGATCACCACCTTCTTCACCCCGGGAAGCTTCTCCTTGAGTAGCGCCTCAACTTCGCCGTAGTAGCCACTGCGGACAGTCGCGTCGTCGGTAAAGGCCTTTTCCTTTGCCGGCGAGTTGTACACGGCGAAGCCCGAGACATCGGTGCCGAATTCAATACCGGAGTCGCGGATGTTCGCGACGGAACGCCGGCGCTCGGTCCGGCTGAAAGAAGTCACGTCGGTGTCGACCTTGGTCCAGGGCTTGCTGTTGTCGCCCTTGAGGGTCGCCGGGTCCAGATATCGGAAGACGCCGGTAGTCATGGTTGCGAGGGGCCGGTGGTGGATAAAGCGGGGAACGTTGTGTGTGAGGGTTGCTTTCAGGCTTGTTCTCAAAGGGACTCGTCGAAGGATCGTGCTCATAATACGCTCGATATGAAAATACGTCAGATGCAGGGCCGATGAGGAATCTTCAGCTTGAGGATCGACGGTCTGCTTCGTGCGGGGTGAGGAGGGGTCCTTTTTTAAACATATCGGAGAGCGGGCCAGATGACACCACTTCTCGGTGATTGCATCACTTTGAGCCAGTGAGAGAATCATTAGTCATTCAGCATTTCTAAGCCAGCACCTCACAGCCGGAGGAGCCCCACTTCCGGGGCCGGCATCAATTGCCCGCGGGATTGATTTCAAATCCCCGGCGGGGCCGTGCACTCTCGGCGATCAGTTCCCGGGGCTCGGTGAGCGGACGCTCTCGGGAATGGTTCGTAACACAACTTGTCGACGTTGGCCCGGATCGGAATTGACACTCTTTGTCTGCATGTTCTCTCTGTTATCTCAGTCCTTGAAACAAGAGTCAACGATTGGTGGATTATCATGCACTCGAGAGCTACTACAGCCAGTAACATTGATGTGATCGGGTCGGGGCTTATGCTGACATCAGATCCAATTTTCGGGCCTCAGCTGCCATCTCTCCCCCGCAAACTCTTTTGTAACTTCTCGTGGGGCTCTGTGCTTCAATCACGCACGAGATCCCTCGATCCATCGGAACGCTCCAATCCTCGGCATCATGCCCAGGCCTCTAAGCTATCTTTGCGATGTTTGCCAACAGGTTGTCGACGCGATATCAAGGGTATTACGCGACGGTGCCATTTCTATCAGACCCAGAGGCCAGAGTTTCAAGGCGCTGAAGGAAGCTGCCGCGAATAAATGCCTCATCTGCATGGAGATTTGGTCTCATGAAGCCGGCCGATCGTGGGATCGGAGTTGGGCGCATGAGGCGTCATGGCGGCCATTCGAGTTCGCCATCACAGCGTGCTCTGAAAACGGGGATTATCCAGATCCGTCTATTCGAATCCTTGTTCGCAGCATTGCCGGTTCCAGTGGCCGTGGTCGAGGACTGAACACAACCTTGGAGCTATTTGACGCAAATGGTAAACCAACATACCCCTTCCACGAAGAAAATGCACTAAAGTATAGTGTTCTAGATAAGCGGAGTCAGGAATGTTTCCCTGAACTTCATGCAGCACACACGACCTCCTCCGTAGAAACTCTGAACATGGCCCGCTCCTGGCTAGAGTATTGTCTGCGATCGCATCAAGAGTGCGGCAACCTATCCAAAGCAACTGGGTGTGGGCTACCTACTCGGTTAATCGATATTGGCTCTTGTCAAGATGCCCAATGGAAACTTGTAGTCTCATCTGAAGACATCGCCTGCGCCCACACACTACGATACATGACGCTGAGCTATCGCTGGGGCTCCAAGCCACAACGACTCATGCTGAAAAGATCCAATCTAAGGACCCTTCGCCAGGGCCAGCCCGTGGAGCGTCTTCCACAGACGTTCAGAGACTTTTTCACCGTGGCAAAACACTTCGGGATTCGTTATGTCTGGATCGATAGCCTCTGTATCATACAAAATTCCACCGAAGACTGGGAGGAAGAAGCACCAAAAATGAAACGGATTTACTCTGGATCTATCTGCAACGTTGTCGCCGCTGTTCCCAATGAACCTTCGGAGGGCTTGTTCGCAGACCGAAAGCCACAAGATTTCCAGACAGGAACCATAGAAATCCACTTTGTCTCGACGGGGCCTCGGAGATACCACCTTGTTCCAGATAATTACACGTTCCGCCACTTTGACGAAGACGTCTCAAACGTGACTTCCCGTGGCTGGATACTTCAGGAGCGCTTCTTAGCGCCGAGGTTGCTATGGTTCACGGCCAAGCAAGCTCTCTGGGAATGCCACACTTGCCGTCGATGCGAAGGCTTCCCGGCAAATGGTTTGGACTGCTGGCCACTGTTACATTACACCCGTATGCTTGCGCCTTGGCATTACCAAGATACAACGCCTGGTCGAATGACCGACCAGACATGGGCTCATTGGAGATTTTGGCTCGCAGAATTTTCGACGTGCCAGTTGACACGGCCAAGCGACAAGCTCTTTGCGTTTTCCGGGGTAGCTCAGTACTTCCAGGAGGCCATAGGTGACAAATATTTAGCCGGTCTGTGGCGGTCTAGGATTCTTGAGGGGCTCAGTTGGCGTACGGTGGACGTGTGTCTTCCACCTTCTCGATATAGAGCACCTTCGTGGTCTTGGGCATCTTTAGATTCACATCATTTGTATTTCTTTGTGCACAACCTCAATTATGTAGCATATCTGGTTGATGTTGTCGATGCCAATGTTACCGAGAAAGGAGAAGACGCGACCACTGATGTGATCGACGGCTATCTCAAACTGAAAGGTTATCTGATTAGTGTACGTTGGCGGTTACTGTTTCCCGATAATCACTCGAAAGCTGAGATGAAGTGTGGAGACTCCGAGAGATCAGTTGACGTTGAAGTCTGTCATGACTTCTTTGACCATGAAGGCTGGGTTGGCAAGCATTTTATTCTGCCTCATTGCATTTGGGACAACGAGAAAGAGCCAGTTTCATCTGCTCATGGTCAGTATTTTCTTGGGTGCTTGATACTCGAGGAAGTTGACAGCAAGAGTTTGGTTTTCAAGAGGGTTGGGTATCTACGAGTACAGGACCGCAGATCAGCAAATAGGGTTCTAAGTTCTGCCCGGGAAAAGGTCACGGAGATTACTATCATTTAAGCAGAGACATCAAATTCACGATAGCTTAATTAGAATATCTGAGCATTCACAGACGAGAATTTGTCTTTCACAATAACTACCAAGTATTTCATGTGACCTTGGAGGTCAGCCTAAGTGCTGATGGAAACAAGCAAGCTAGCTTTTGAGAAGCTCTCCGTTATTGCAATGTGCTTTTGAGCAGTGTTCATGGATACTTTGCTCAGAGAAAATGCCTCAAAGCGTTGCTCGTGGCTAGTTAAGTATTTTATCTACGTTTTGCATGCCATGCTCGGTTGAGTCAGTCTCTGTGGGAATGCCTCCAGCTTCTAATGAGGATCACCCTCAGGCGCTTGAGATATATCGCTATCAACCATGGTTCAGCAAAGCTTAATAAAGCCTCATAGTTATAGTTCTATTTAATATAGTTATTTGAGAACTAGTACTAGCTAGAGTACCCTTATATTATAGCTTATCTATAGCTATTGCCCGCTATAGACTGATACAGCAAAAACTCAAATCAAGCGCTTAAAATAAATGCTCAAATCGCATTTTCAATATCCACCCTATGCAACTCGGTCAGCCCTTTCTTCTAGCCTTGATCATTCCTCATACTCCACCTCTAAAACGCTGGGGTTATGGTCAACTTCAAGACATGACAGACAAGTTGCTTGTTCTGGACTGTCGTCGCTTGATGCCGAATCTGACAATCTTATTTCACAACAACGCTTAAGCACAACAAAGAAGACTGCGTTGTAGCTAGCAATAGCAACTTGCATCGGGACTGAGTAATGTCCATGTCCATCTGCAGGTATGTGGGCTTTCTTGATTTACCGAAAAGCCGGTCGTATCCCGCGGGTTCAGATATCGAAGCGGTGGTTTTTGACCCAGCGTTATTACTAATTGTCTAATGGGAATAGCCGAGCTTCTAAGTGACCTTACCTCAACTGTGACGTGATTCCAAATAGAGTTCAAAAACCCTTAGCTTGAGAGAGACCGCCTCATATCGATTCATGGTGTTAGCGTCTCGCTCCATATCTACCCCAAGACACTAACATCATCAACCCCGCGAGTGAAAGCACCTACCACCAAACCAACCTCCAGCCAAGAACCCCGCGATATCAACCCATTGACCTCAACTCAACGACACACCTCACCACAAACAACCAAGACTTCTAATTCCTAAGGCTTCAGAAGCCAAAACCCTCCCTCACAATGCCTCCCATCCCCCCAAAACAGATGAAGGCAATCCAGCTCCAGACCTTCAACGCCCCCTACGCCGTCACCCACGTCCCCGTCCCCCGCCCGAGACCCCACCAGCTCCTCGTCAGGATCAGGGCCGCCGGCTTCTGCCACACCGACTGCATGGTCAACGAGAACGCCTTCGGCTCCCCGCTCCCCGTCGTCGGCTCCCACGAGCCCGCCGGCGTCGTCGTCGGCGTCGGCTCCGACGTCCAGGGCTTCAGCGAGGGCGACCGCGTCGGGTGCATCAACTTCGACAGCTGCTGCGGTGAGTTTTCGTCTTTGGGTTGATTATGAGATGAGTTTGGGAAGTGACGCGTGGTAGGAAAATGTCCCGATTGCAAGGCCGGGAGGCCGGTTTACTGCGATAACTTGTTGATGAAGGGTATTACTACGGACGGCGCCTGGGCGGAGTACATGGTCGCGTACGAAACCCTCCCCTCTGCATGCGAAATCTCATCCACTAACATGTCTCTTCACGATAGCGACTGGCGCTTCACAGTGAAGCTGCCCGACGAAATCGACTTCCCGACAGCGGCGTGCCTGATGTGCGCCGGGATCAGCATCTACGGCGGCATCAAGCGCGCCGGCGTCCCGCCCGGCGGCTCCATCGGCATCGTGGGGATCGGCGGCCTCGGCCACATCGGGACGCAGCTCGCCAAAGCCATGGTCCGTCCCGTCCCGTCACCAAACCCCCATTTCCACTTCCCCGGACAATGAGACTAACTTCGCGACAGGGCTACAAAGTAGCAGCCATCGACGTGCGCCAGTCCGCGCTGGACCTGGTCTCCTCGTACCCCCTCAAACCAGACCTGTGCATCCTATCCACGCAACCCGCCGCGGACGCCGTGTCCGAGATCGCGCGCGCCGTGGGCGGCGACTACCCGGGCCTCGACGCGACGGTGCTCGCGACGGACGCGCCGCCGGCGTTCGACTTCGCGGCCGCGGTCACGCGGAAGCACGGCACGCTCGTGCTGCTCGGGCAGCCGGAGAAGGGGATCACGCTGTCGTACCGGGACGTCATCTTCCGCGACCTGAAGCTGGTGGGGTCGTTGGTGGCGGACAAGAAGGATACGGAGGATCTGGTTAAGTTAGTAGCGAAGCACGGGATCCGGGTGAAGATGAAGGAGTGGGGGATCGAGCAGGCCGAGGAGATGAGGCAGGAGTACCTCGCGGGGAAGAGTGAGGGGAAGAATGTGATTGTGTTTGGGTAGAGCTGGACGCTGAGAGGTGAAGGTCGAGTGCCTGTGTTAAGTAAGTTGTGCTGCGCAGGGCACGAAGCGGACATATGTTGAACGGTATGCTCGTGAGAATGGTATTTTACCGATGCCGAATCTTTGGAAGTGAATCTAATTAGTATGTCCTCAGCAGCCTTCAAATCATTGGCTTTAGATAGGCCCGATGTCGAGAATTCCAACCATCTCTTCAGTTGCAGAGGATTTCCACCGAAGTCGATCAAGTGACATCATGCAGCTGCAATATACCGTTGCTTGCGAACGCTCGCATGGGCAAGCCGCTATCGACCCGGACAAACATGGGACGTTTCGGCAGGACCCAAGAGACGGGCCGTCAAGGTTCGGCCGAAATAAGCGTTGCGGTCGGGCTCTGTTCGCGCGTAATCCGATGTTCACACTGCGGCACCGCGGTGAAAGTGGACTGCTGTAGAGTTCCTCAACACTTCTTTCTCGCATCGCTCTCGCACCTGCTGAAGCTCGTCGGTGTCAAAGATTGCAGAGCGGCCCGTGGCCTGAACTGCTCAAAGTCGACGCTCTGGGAGTTGCGGCCACGCACGCAGGCTGAAGCGTCGAGCGACGTACTGTCATGAATACTTTGTATTATGCTGGGCTTGCAGCATCACAGATGCCTCGGGGCCATCTCTCGGGAGAAGAAAAAGACAATAACCTTCCCTGCACTCGGGCGTCAATGTGCCCTCACAAAAAGCCTGCCCATCGTGACGCCTCCTCACAAAAGAGTCCCCCCTGCGCGTGGAACGGCCGAGCCGTTATCCCACGAGATTTGTACATGATGTACATGGTGGTAGTACATCCTCCGCCCCTCCGCTCCTCCCCTTTTCTCCTTCCGCCATGATCCTGAAGGCAATATCTCCAAGTTGAGGTCGTAAATGAGTTGGTTCGGCGACCGGCAAGACCATGAACTCGTAATATCCTCAACTCTCCCCCTTTCGTCAGCGAAACAGAATGGTACGAAAAGACGCAACGCCATGCTCGCAAATGTGATTGATCAAATCAAAGTCGTGTGAGACCGATCCCGGTTCATTCGGACGGGGAAAGGGGGCATGCAGCCGGCGCGCCGCAACACGTCCCGTCCCGTTAAACCGCCCCCTTTTCCAAGTCTGAAGAATACAAGGTCGGAATCATACCCGTACTGAGCCTTCCATCACGGAAGTCCAGGCCTTCTCTCTATCGACGGCCCGGTTCGAAAGGATTCTCTTGTGGTTGGGGCTCGAACGGGTTATCTTGTGCTCGTTGACCGTTGCGCTGCCACGAGGCAGGGGGCTTGCCCATGGTCGGGTGGTCGTCGACGTCGCCGTCGAGTTCGAAGTCGACAGCGTCCTCCTTTCTTTCGATGCGCTGTCTTCGCATGTGGAGGAAGGTCAGGAGACCGCCGGTGCCGAGGATGAGTACCGCGCTGCGTTCGCACACAGAGTTAGCCTTTTGTCACTTCGGATGAACAAGATTGGACGGTGCGGGAAGGGTTGCATCTGACGGGTTGGGCAGTGCAAACCCGGGGCTGTGCGTTTCGCAATGCATTGAGGGCAAACAGGGAAATTGGAGACGTTTCTTTCTTCAGAAGAGATGTTTTGAGGGGAGACATACGCCGTAATACCGATGGTGATGCCAATGATCTTGGACGAGGCGAAGGGCTTCTCGCAGCGATTGCTGGTGTCGCCTTCCTCGCAGCTGTCACGCGCGGCGAGGTGGACGACGGCGCGAGCGAGGGGAGCCAAGAGGCTGTCGGCGCGCTGGGCGATGGTCGTTGTTGTCGTCGAAGACATGATGCCGAGTGTTTTGTTTAGCGGTTGGTGATGTAATGTAATGCGACCGTTATTTCGTGATTCGGTGATTTGTCGGATTGCTCGGGTGGGGATTGCCTCCTATCTCAGATTCCAACCCGCACTTTTCGAAGCCGTCGCGTCGCGTGATAGTGTATGCTGATATCCCCCTATTTCGTGCTTTCCCCTTCGTATTTTCCTCACACTATGTCTCTGTTTGTTGTTTTGCGACGGGGGGAGAGAAAAAAAGAATAATGTCTTGTTCGTTCCCTCCGAAATTCCTCTCTGGTGATCGGCAGCGACGGGGGATGGCCGTATCGGTAGGGCGGTGGGCGGGCTCGTGTTCTTCAAAGAGTGGATTCCCCCCTGGATTCAGTTGTTCGCTTGCGGTGAAACCGATTCCGTGGCCCCTGCTATCGCATTCTCAAGCGTCAACGGTTTATGCAAGGGAGCGACGATGAAGAATAAAAGGGCGGGAGAAGGAAAGACGAGAAACGAAAAAGTGGTAAATGCCAAGAGAGAGATGGCAATGAGTGAAAAACAAGAGAGAGTTGGTTGAGAATGAGTGAGTGACGAAGGAAGGAGAGATTGGATGGATGGAGGATGCTGGAAAGGAAGGACCGAGGGAAATGGAAAGAGCAATGGAAGGAGTGGAGTTCAGGCAAGGAAGGAAGGAAGGAAGCAACCAACGAAAGGAATTGAAAACACGGGGAAGGAGACGGACACCGGGAACCCACGGCAGCCTCACCTCTCACCTCACACCTCACTCATTCAACTCAGGGGATGGACCGCCGTCTCAGCCATTCAGGGTCCAGAGTCCAGAGGGAATTGACCAATGCAAGGCATAATTCCCGTCCATCAGAGACACAGAAAACGGGGGAATGTGGCTGTGTTTCACTCGTTTTCCCATGCCGACCAACCCGGAATTGGCTCTCGTGATTGGCCACACGCCGCCCCCCCTAAAATGACATTCCTTGATTCCCTTCAACTCAGTCAACACATCTCCAAAAAAAGATTCGGATCCGACTCAACCAGGCGAAAATCCCCTCTACACCTCACCGATCATGCCCGTTTTCATCTCCCTTGGCAACTTTGTTCCTCCTGGTCAGAGCCAACACGAGGACGACAGAGGGGCCCTCTCTCAGCTCATCGCGAATCTCATCCTCTCACGGCAACAGTGAGAAACTCAAAGCAGGCAAAGGCAGGCCGCCCTGGAATTAAGGTGGCTGCCAGAATAGGGCTTGCGGGGAAATGCTTGTCTCGTGTTTCACATTCCGAACGCCTCCTCGTCGTGAGCCGTCTCCAATCCGCGCCTGCTGACACCGCGCTGAGCCTCCCACAGCCAGCGTGTCCCCTGAGTTCGTTGCTTGACTTGACCTGCCGGTGGACTTGACGGGTGTTCGTCCCTAGGGGGAAAAAAACTCACAGGAACGAGAGTTACCGTCCGCGAACGAACTCTGTGCGAGGCATGAGTAAGCAGGATTCTTGCTATATACTGTAGGCTCTATTCTGCTGTCTGCAAACGCCGTAACTCTGAAGCTTTGGTCGTAAATCAAGGCAATCAGAACTGCCCTCACTCGTGACATTCTCTGGACGCATGAGTTAGCCCGGAGATAAGGCCGAGGAAAGCTCATTCCCCCCCTCGTCGATCCACTCAATCCAGAACACCACAAAGGAGCAGCCCAGCGGCGCGCGGAAAACGCTGTTAATAATAGCGCGCCGCGCGCCGCCCAGTCCCCCCCCCATTTCTTTTTTCGGAATCCCCTCGCCTGTTGCCGATTGTCCGTCCGCTAGCCCGCCATTCGGAGGTTTAATTGGGTCAGGGCTGAAATCGAAGGGAACGGTCTTGTCTTCCTCGAATTCTGGAGGGCTATTCGTAGGACGTCAAAGATGCAAGTATGGTTCACGGTCGTTGGATCATCTCTCTCGATGAAGCGACTGTTAATGACAGCTAGCGTTGTTGCGCAGAGTATCGAGTATCGATCGAGCCGAGGAACCCGGATGGCCCTCCTTTCCTCGGCCCGAGTGGTGGGCTGAGAAAACGGCGATGGACCCCACATCTCCGAGGCGCGCCCCGCCGACCCTGCAGGGCCGCTGCAAGCCCCACGATCGGCCGGGCCCGATTCTACGACGATGGAGTGGGGCCAGGATGCGAGTGCGGACGCCGCCTGCGCCCCGCCGTGCCGCAGCCTGACGATAACGGAAACGGCTTTGTTTGTCACCTACCCTGACGGATATATTCCACGAAGTAACCTTGATGGATAGTGTTCCAAGTGATCAGACTCCTCAGTCATTCTGGGACATGAGCTTGAACCAACGTGATAACGGTAACGAGAAATAGTGGCCATCGTTGAGCTTATCGCATGTGGCGAACAGCGGACGGGAACGAATTCTCGGGAAATTCAGAGACCATGTTGCTCCCCTACAGACTTTCCTTGGCCGACCGAGCTGAAATGTCTTGGCCGACGAAAGCTGAAAAGGAAGTTCTCGCTTTCTCAAACGCGACATTCAATCCGCGCCGAGCCGGCAGGCACAAGCCAGAACGTGGTGTGGGAATCGGACGGGGCAGTCACGGACGGGCTTATTCGCGTCGCAGAAGATGAGATGACGAGACAAAAGAATTGTTCCATGGCGGTCCATTCTCTTGCTCGGATATCAAGAATTCCACACAGCGCACATCTCGAGTCGCCAAGTCGAGTTCATTGTTTCTTTTCGCCACTCTTTGAATGGGTTTGAACCCAGGGAAATGTTCGCGCTCGTGCTGTGCTAGATTTCGCTTTTGCTTCGCTTCGAGACTGACGAGGCCAAGATGTGCGCAGGCGGTCCAGCGGATGGATGGAAACATTTCATGATATCGACCGGTCTGGAGCGAGGAGCGAGCCACGCTACATCGAGAATTGCAGGTTTACACGGGCAGTGACGTAGTCTGCCCTATTGCTCCTCGCCATGTATGAAAACACACGTGCATGCGCGTATCGCAGCGTATCGCAGCGTATCGCAGCTTCATGCCGCCGTTGAGCCCCAAAGCCAGTTGGCTCCTGCTATCGTTCTCGCGTCTTTCTCCTTGGCGACGCAACACCCAGCTTTCAGCAGCTGATATATCATGGCCTACAGATGCTCGGAAAGACCAGGATTCGCTGTAATCATTGTTCCTTATGCATGTAGTCAAGTAAGAAAATCAGTCTTGGTGAGCCTAGTTTCTTGAGCCAATTGAAGCTCGTGTATGTCGACTGCTGTTGCCGCTCTGGTCGAGCTCAAGCATTTTACCAACTTCCGTTCTCATAACTTTTATATGGCAAAAACGACACTTAAGTCAATACTATTCGCATGAAATGAAGTGATGCAGACAGCAGCAAGACTAGTATCGCTGGCAGGCGCGACCCGGCCAAGGTTTCGTACGACGTGTACTCGCGAGAGTCACAGTGGAGGAATCACCTGCTGGCGAACCCAGCTCATAGATACCTTGAAACAGGAGAGAAGATACGCAGGAGACGATCATAGGCTTCGACGTCAGCGCTGCGGTGTAAATACTGCGGCTCTAATTATAAATCCGCCAGTCCTTTCAGAACCGCGTGGAAAAGAGTGAAGTCGAGCTCAAAGATCGCAGTCGCAACACGCATGTCATGGGTCGCGGAAGATGTGCGCGCTATTAGGTAACAAGAACGTGGATGTTTGGTCTGACAGCTGGGTCCGGCCTTATTTAACCTCAATTGCGGAGGAGGAGGCTCTTTGGACGACATGTCTCGAGATTTTGCGAAAAATGTGAGGCTGGAGGGCTAGATCGGGGCGCGGCGAGAGATAGGAAATCGCATCATTGCAGTCTGATATGATACGCATTCCTCATCCGGCCTCCGTGTTGGACGTCTCCGAGGGGATGCGATTCTCCGGGCCGCCGGGCGCCGCTGGACTGGGACGCGAGCGGTAGAAGATTGATGAAATCCACCACGTGAGAGCATATCGCATCACCTTCGTCCAGGTTTGTTGTGATATCGCATTTCGTTATTTTGTGGGAGGGTCGTGTACGTACGGACGCCCGTGGCAGGTTCGACGACGCTTGGCGGGCAGCTGATCATGACGACGTCGTATGGACGATTCTACCTACCCCTCATTCAATCAATCTGAGTTGGTTCAATCAAACCCGGGGATAACTTGAGAGCGGGCTGGTCCAAATGTTCATGTGATCCCGTGGCGTTTCATCCCGCGGAGATCCAAGAGATTCTGGGGAATGATGATCCATGTCGTCGTAATGATCTACGGCCTTTGTGGTTGAAGATGACCTGGTGTGCTATCAACAGCTAGCCATTCAGCTGGCAGATATCCGGCCTCCAACAATCAAATTGGCATAAAATGCGGGGGAGAAACAGGGTACGGGTCGTCCACGTGAGGTTTCACGATGCCACTGAGTGCTGTCCAAGAGGACGATTATCAGTCGCGGGAAACGAGGTTGGACGGGATGAGCGAAGGGTTAACACGTTAAGACCAGACGCACAGCAGCGCACAATCCGGCTTCAGCGAATCCGAAGCGTCACTACGCTCGTGTTCGCGAATCAACCACGTCTGTGAATAGAGTGGCGAGAGACCCATCTGCGGACGACGAATGGCGGGCACGCCGTTTCTACAGTCTGGGCGCACCAGATGCAGCACATCCAGTCAGTAGTTGTTAGTTGTCCGTGTCTAACTGACGAAAACGAGGACGAAGCGATCCGAGAGCAAATTGAAGTCTTGGCTTGGATGAACGTTTGGCTCGCAAGGCTGGGACTGTGCTGAGTTGAGCTGGTTTTTGGGTGGGATGCCTGGTGAGGAATAGACTTGCCGCGCCGGTTGGCGTGTTTGACTCGGCTTGGGTGACGACCAAGTCAGATCATTTAAGATTTTTTTCTTCTATTCTTTCCTGGGCGCGCATGTCAGGTTCGGACTGGTTCTTGTCGGTGTTTCTAATCATGGGATGAAGGCATGTTAAAAAATGCGTGTGTGCAACAGCTTTGCGGACGGTCTAAAAACGG